CAGCGATCGTGCCCGTCATCGGTTATCTCGACCTCGAAGAAACGAGGGTGTCAAAGAACCGGTGGATGTAGTCGGCGATTCGGTTGCGGGCGATGAAGATGCGCCTTGCCACGGTGTCCCCGCCGAGAGTGAGGTCTAGGGAACGCTTATGGTGGCGGGGTTTCCAGTCCTCGAGGCCGAGGGGGCCTGACGGCAGCTGATGGAGGTCCGGGGAAAGGAGAACCATCTGAGGGGACAGTCGAGAGCTCGCCAATCGCGGTACGTCCCGGGACTCCAATAAGACCGACGATGTCTCCACAGCGGAAGTACTCATGTCGCGCCACGATGCCTTCTAGGTCTTCGGCATTTCTAAGGAGCAATAGTTTCTGTGAGCCTGTAGTCGACAGAACAACAAAAGGACTCACCACTTGATCGCCGTAATTTGCACCTTTTGGCCCTCGCCGTGGAGGTCACAGAAATGGAAACCTTGATGAGACTGTTGTGAATATGTCCTGCAAGGCATCCGACGGCGCCCTCGACCTTCCCTCCGGGCTTGATCTTGCCTTCGCGACCATACTTGTCAACGCAATGCAGGAGCGACATCGAGACCTCGAGCATGTAAAGGTAGGGGATGGGGCTCATGGTCGCCTTGAGCTTGCGGTCGTGGCGGGAGCGAATGTCGAAGTGCTACTAGGATGGTTTAGCATGCCGATTCGCGAAACAGAGCGTAAAGTAGCGTACGTTCGGCTTCTGGTCCCCTCCGTTAACTCGAGAGGACTCTGCTTAGCGCCTTGAATGGTTTACCTGAAAGCAAGCTCAGTCAAGTCTCAGAAAGAAAGGAGAAATAGCGCACTCGTCGCTGGCGCAATGGCTCAGCATAAGAGAAAGTGCTGTTTACGGGGCCCTTGTCCGCTGCAAACGCTGAGCGCTGAGTTGACCGTCGCAGGGACGCGCAAAGTGTGAGTTGTATACGCTGAGTGGGCCGGCTGCATGGCAGAAGCGAAGGAGAGAGGTTGATGCCGACGTGTGAGGGTGGCATGCACAAGGTGGTCGCATCCTCAGTGTCGGGACAACGGAAGTATTTATTGATATGGGAGAACACGCGGCGCTACAGCTCGTCCCCTTCCCTGCTCGCCATTTCCTCGACCGCCCGAGATCCTCTCTGCTCTTCTACTGCCCCTCCTCAGCGCTGCCTCGCATCCGCAGACGTGTCGGCCTTTCCGGCTGAATATGCCCCTGGCAAGTCATCTCACGTCTCTGTTTCCCTGGTACTCTGCAATAATCATACCTGCAGCAAGTTCAACATGCCTCCAGCCGCGTCCACCTCGAATACGCCATCGTCGGCCATGTCATCGGCGACCCAGACTCCGGCATGCACTGTATGCACTCGGATACGTAGCGTAGGTCTGGAATCTCGATGAGGTGCGCAGTCGATATGGTCTTCCGCTAGCCTCGCTCATCGACTCTCTCTAGCCTAGGGCACTCCTCTCCGTTGCTGAATGCCAACGCTAAGGTGTCCTGCCGGGACCGATGGCAGAAAGAAAATCCCTGATCCAGGCACTCCCTGGTCGCTCCTGGCGTCCTCGCCGTCGCGCACACTCGCAAGCTTGAACGCAAGTACGTCGCGAATTTCCAAGCACGGCGTGAAGGTCAACGACTGGCCACTGGTAGAAGCCATTATCTTCTATCACTGCGACCTTCTCATGCATGGTCCCTTCTCGCTCGCTGCTAGTCCCCGTACACGTTCAGGTCGTCTCCCTTGAGGCAACTCGACATAAGCGTACCAAAGCTCAATCACGATACTATATCAAAGATGGTGTAGGAAACGACATGAAGAAAACGGGCCACCTTGCGATAACGCGCTCTGTGTCAACGATCTTGGCTAATGTGCTGCGCCAGCTTGAAGGTGGATGGAGTGTGGTAGAGCGTACAGCTACAGGATACCCAAGTGTAACATTTCATTCTGCAATGACAAGATGTGCACATAATCTTTTCAAAGTATTTCGCCCTGAGAACCTGTGAGATATCTGCTGAACGAGCATACAAACATGCAGCCAAATCTAGGTATAGCCCTTCGAAATATCCCTGTCGCCCGTCTCTCGCATCACCGCTTCAGAACCTCTGATCTTGTGTACCATACGCGACCTCAGCTCACCCTTCCATACCTTCCGCCAGCCTCCTCCCACAGTACCGCAATTTGCACCGATTCGCCGGTCCTCCGCATACGCGTTACAGACCGTACGGCGGATGCATAACCCGCCCTTTTCCCGATATCCATGCACGTCTCAAGCCGCGGGTTCGTCATGCGGCGAGTTCTCTGCATCGATGCCGGCGCCGCGCTCGAGTAGCAGGCTTACGATCTCATCGTGCTTCTCCTCCCTCGCGAGGTCCAGCGCACGCCGTCCGTCGGCGTCCGCGACTGTGACGTCTGCGCCGTTGTCGAGGAGAACGCGGGCAGCGTCGATGTGCCCCTCCCGGGCTGCGCAGAGCAGCGGAGTCCATCCGTTTTCTCTCTGCGCGTCGACAGCCGTGCCATGCTCGAGAAGGGCGCGCACGGCGTCGACATGGCCGAAATATGCAGCAAAATGTAGCGGCGTTGTCGCGTTCCGCGCGTCGACAGCAGCACCACGCTCGAGAAGGGCGCGCGTGACCTCGACGTGGCCATTTTGTGCAGCAATAAATAGCGGCGTCCATCCGTCCTGGCTCTGCGCATTGACAGCTGCGCCGTGGTCGAGAAGGACGTGGGCAATGCCGGCGTGGCCATATCGTGCAACAGTGTGTAGCGGCGCCAATCCTTCCTCGCCCTGCACGTCGACGGCTGCGCCGCGGTCGAGAAGGACGCGCGCGATGTCAACGTGGCCGAATTGTACAGCAGTGTGTAGCGGCGTCCATCCGTATTTCTCCTGCGCGTCGGCAGCTGCGCCGCGGTCGAGAAGGACGTGCGCAATGTCGGCGTGGCCGTATTGTGCAACAAGGTGTAGCGGCGTCAATCCTCCCTTCTCCTGCGTGTCGACAGCTGCCCCGTATTCGAGAAGGGCGTGCGCGATACCGACGTGGCCGTACTGTGCAACAATGTGTAGCGGCGTCCATCCGTCCTTATGCTGAGCGTGGACAGTTGCGCCGTGGTCGAGAAGCGCGCGCGCGATACCGACGTGGCCGAATTGTGCAACAACGTGTAGCGACGTCCATCCGTCCTTCTCTTGCGCGTCGACAGCTGCGCCGTGGTCGAGGAGGGCGCGGGCGATGTCGATGTGGCCAAGACGTGCAGCAAGATGTAGCGGCGTTTCCCCTGAGTTGTTCTCGTTCTGCATATTGGCAGCCGCACCGTGGTCGAGAAGGGCGCGCGCGACGTCGACGTGGTCATACTGTGCAGCAAAATGTACTGGCGTCCATCCGTCCTCGTCCTGTGCATCGATAGCCGCGCCGTAGTCGAGAAGGGCACGCACGATGTCGACGTGGCCGTATTGTGCAACAACGTGTAGCGGCGTGAGCCCCGAGCCGTTCTTGTTTTGCCTATCGACATCTGCACCATGGTCGAGAAGGGCGCGCGCGGTGTCGACGTGGCCGAATTGTGCAGCAAGGTGTAGCGGCGTCCATCCGTCCTTCTCCTGCGTGTCGACAGCTGCGCCGTGGTCGAGGAGGGCGCGGGCGATGTCGACGTGACCGAATTGTGCAACAAAGTGTAGCGGTGTGCATTTGCCCTTCTCCTGCGTGTCGACAGCTCCGCTACGCTCGAGAAGGGCGTGCGCAATGTCGACGTGGCCATGCCGTGCAACAACGTGTAGCGGCGTCCATCCGTCCTCCTGCTGCGCGTCGACAGCCGCGCCACGCTCGAGAAGGGCGCGCGCGATACCGACGTGGCCGAATTGTGCAACAAGGAGTAGCGGCGTCCATCCGTTCTTCTGCTGTGCGTCGACAGCTGCGCCGCGGTCGAGAAGGACACGTGCAATGTCGATGTGGCCAAACTGTGCAATAAAGTGTAGCGGCGTCCATCCGTCCTTCTCCTGCACGTCGATAGCTGCGCCGTGGTCGAGGAGGGCGCGGGCGATGTCGACGTGACCGTATTGTGCAACAACGTGTAGCGGCGTCTCTTTGTCCTTCTCCTGCACGTCGACAGCTGCACCACGCTCGAGAAGGGCGCGGGCGATATCGACGTGGCCATGCTGTGCAACAACGTGTAGCGGCGTCCGTCCGTCCTTCTGCTGCGCGTCGACATCTGCACCGTGGTCGAGAAGGGCGCGCACGATGTCGAAGTGGCCATATTGTACCGCGATAAGTAGCGGCGTCCATCCGTCCTTCTCCTGCGCATCAACAGCTGCGCCGTGGTCGAGGAGGGCGCGGGCGATGTCGACGCGACCGTATTGTGCAACCAAGTTTAGCGGCGTCCATCCGTCCTTCTCCTGCGCGTCGACAGCTGCACCGCGGTCGAGAAGGACACGCGCAATGTCGATGTGGCCAAATTGTGCAGCAAGGTGTAGTGGCGTGAGCCCCGAGTCGTTCTTAGTCTGCGTATCAACATCCGCACCGTGGTCGAGAAGAGCGCGCGCGATGTCGACGTGGCCGAATTGTGCAGCAAGGTGTAGCGACGTCCGTCCGTCCTTCTCCTGCGCGTCGACAGCAGCACCATGCTCGAGAAGGATATGAGGGACGTCGACACGGCCGAGTTGTGCAGCAAGACATAATGGCGTCCATCCGTTCTTCTCCTGCGCGTCGACAGCTGCGCCTCGGTCGAGAAGGACGTGTGCAATGTCGGCGTGGCCGAATTGTGCAACAACGTGTAGCGGCGTCGATCCTCCCTCCTCCTGCGCGTCGACAGCTGCACCGTAGTCGAGAAGGGCCCGCGCGGTGTCGACGTGGCCGGATTGTGCAACAACGTGTAGCGGCGTCTGTCCGTCCTTCTCCTGCGCATCGACAGCAGCGCTATGCTCGAGAAGGACGCGCGCGATGTCGACGTGGCCGTGTCGTGCAACAACGTGTAGCGGCGTCCACCCGTCCCTATGCTGCGCATCGACAGCAGCTCCATGCTCGAGAAGGATGTAAGCAACGTCGATGCGGCCGAATTCTGCAGCAGAGTGTAGTGGCGTCCATCCATCCATGTTCTGTGCGTCGACAGCTGCGCCGTGATTGAGAAGGGTGTGCGCGACGTCGACGTGGCCATATGATGCAGCGAGATGTAGCGGTGTACGTCCTTTCTTGTTCCGTGCGTTGACGGCAGCGCCGCGATCGAGAAGGGCGTGCGCAATGTCGACGTAGCCATACCGTGCAACAAAGTGTAGCGGCGTCCATCCGTCCTCCTGCTGTGCGTCGACAGCTGCGCCATGCTTGAGAAGCACATGGGCAATGTCGACATGGCCAAATTCCATAGTGCAGTGCAGTGCAGTAAATCCATGTTTGGTAGGGATGTTGTTATCTGCACCTTCGTCCAGAAGTAGTAAGACAACATCCTTGTGCCCTTGGTGTGCGGCAGCAGACAAAGCCGTCCCGTACCGACCTCCCAAAGCATTGATATCTGTTCCGTTGATCTTGAGCAAGGTCTGAACATGATGTTTGATCCCTAGATAGGCTGCCCAATACAGCAGAGATTGTCTTCCATTTTGGGAGTTGGGCCATGCCTTCTGCCATCTTGAGAAGTAAAGGAGAATGGTTGGATGGAGGAATCGGGACAGCAGATTGTTAATGGCCTGGTCCTCGGAGTGAGCAACTTGATCAGGAGTTACATGGTCTTGCCAATATTGCACCGCATAGTTGGAAAAGGGAAGGCTTGGCAGTGGTGGAGGGGAGAGAAGGGTTACAAGGCACATCTTCACTAAAGTGATATGTGCTGATGGTTCATCAATGTGGTACAGTGTGAGGGAGGGTGGTAGCCAGCTTGTGATGAGGAAGTCTTGTGCAGAGGTGTGCACAAATTGGACAAAATGACAATGCTTGATTGTATCATTATGATTGGCAATAATCTCCACAAAGCTGGAGCACATCTTGTGTATATAGCTTTCTGGGTTTTTGACGCGAAAGGCAGGGTTGAGGTGTGGGTTTCCAGTAGCCGGGAAGTCGACTGCAAGAACCTCAACAAGCTCAGAAGGAGAGAGAGGTCGTTTGGCAAATGCAATACACTGAAACATCTGCCGTCTTCGCTTTGCAACAGATTCACTTGATCCATGGTCAAGGTTGTTGAGGATACGTTCATATGTTTGAGAGATTGTCTTGGGAAGCTCGGTTAGAGTCTTTTGAACATCTCCAGGTGGACAGCTGCGCAGCACGTCCAGCTGAAGATTAACCCATAGGAACCTTACATGCAATCAGAATGAATAAAACTAAGAACAAAAGATTTGACATACATGCCACTCGCCATTGATACAAGTTCTTTCTGGGCAAGCTCCTTGATATCAGATGGCCAGCTTGAGAAGTCATCTTCAGCAAGACCATGGGATACATAGAAAGCCAAGTCACGAGTGTGTGCATCAGCATCATGAAGCTTGAGCCGATGGGCAGGAAAACTATCCATGGCTGTCCAGATATCTGATGTGGACTAGCGTCAACACACCACGAGGGATACTAAGTGGATCTAAACAGAAGGCGGCGCCGACGGGGTCTGGCGACTAGTGTGTTAGCTTATTCAGCTAGCCCAATTAACCAAGTGTATTAGCAATCTGTACTACGATACAAGTAAAGGCTTACCTAGCCCAATTAACCAAGAGGTTGAGATGGGGCTAGGTAGCGACAAAGGGTAGCCTTATATACTAGTCAGGCTGCGCACGGACCAGGCTTTACATAAGCGACTGGTGCTACGGCGACTGCTAGTGTCTAGGGGACTCAGGCGGGGAGACGAGGGCCGGTGTGTCATACCATATGACGTTGTCGGGCCGACGGAGAGAAGAAGTCCGTTGCCGATCGGACTCGGAGGTAGCCGGGAGCCGGTGTGTCATGTTGTATGACGTTGCCGGGCCGACGGAGATAAGAAGTCCGTTGTTGATCGGAGTGCGGCTGTTTCCGAGGAAGCGTGATGCGGCGACGAGGCGGCGGCGATGCAGGCGCATCTGATGCGCTGATGCGTGCTCGTCGGTGATGCGTTTTCAAGGTGTTAGCGCTCGGCTAGGACTTGTAAACTGGCGCCTATGCGCCGACGACGTTTGGAGGGTCGTGTAAACGTGAAATAAATCGGAGAAAATGGGAATAAAATAGGAGGCTGGGCTACGCCCACGACA